GGGGGAGTGCGCGCCGCGGTGGGCGGCAGCGGGCAAAGCTGGGGTTTGTAGCGCGGTTTCTGCGGCGAGAGCTTGTGCTTCGCCAGGGCTTCGCCCGCCCGAGGGCCGCGTCTCCGGGCGCGCCTCGAGCGGAGAGCAGGGCGGGCGCCGCTGGACTCCCCAGCGGGAAGGTAGCAAAAGCGGTTCGTTGATTACTGGACAAGAGTAAGTGACTGCGTGGAGTCCAAACAATTCAGTCTGTGGCAAATACCCCTTTGCCCACGCGTTGTCTTCACCCCAAAAGCGCTTCAGCGATTCCCAGCGTTTTGTCTGAGAAGTGCCGGCATCTCTGCCCGAGATGTGCTCAGGTAGCAAAACTTCAATATCCTGAATTGATAGTTCGGAATAAACCGGGACACAAGATGTGGAGGAGGTGCTGGTTGGAAGGCTCGTCTGAAGTCCACGGAGCCACGTGAGCTCCCTTTTGGTTCATAGCAATAATAAAAGGCGATGAGACATAAAAGGTTTTATTTTTCCAACCGTGATGTGGTGGAGTCGAGCGCATGACACCCTCAGCGAGATCCGGACAGGTGGAAACTTGCCTCCCGGTAGGGCCCCAGCTGACAGCCGAAGCACACAGGGTTGGTTGTTGTTGCGGGACTGTGCCTGTATCTTCTTTCGCACAAAATGACAGTGAAACTTAAATTGCACTGAATTGCTTGTTTTCCTGAGCTAATATCTCAAACCTAGGAAGAACTGCCTGATGTTGCAAAGATGCATCCTTGTGTATATCCTTCCTTGCAGGTGGCTGTCTCAAAACAAACCCAAAATATATTTAGCATCCCTCAAATACTGCTCATTTGCTTTGGAGGAAGAATAAAAGGGGCAAATCCAGCCGGTGACAGACAGCAAGGAGAGAGCAGGGGTTCGGTTGGCAGCGTGGGGTTAGCACTGGAAAGAGGCAGTCGAAGAGGCAACGCTCTCCGGTGGCCCCCGTCCCCCACCGCCACCAAGTAGGGGGCTTTCTGGGATGGAGCTCACCTGCAGTACGTTACCAGTAAAGTCAAAAAGCTACAAGAGGCAAGTCAGACCTAGACTTGCATCATGCTTCTGTCATGGCTACAGTAATTTAATCCAGTAATCGGCTGAAGTTCATCATTTTTATTGCCTCTGTGTTATTAAAAACAAAAAGCAAAAAAACCCCAAACCACATCTTCATTTGTCTCCGGAAAGGCAATCTGCTGTATTAGCTGCCTACATACTGCGCAGGATTATTTGAACACAACATGAAGAAGTGCTGTGGTGTGTACTGACAGTGACATAATTAACCATTACAGTGTAAGAGGCCCCCAGCAGCCATGCATATAATCAATTAGAAATACACATTTTGGGCTTCTCTCGCTCTCTCTTTTTCTTTTTTAAACGCTGTTGCAAATATATTTAGGCTAAAAGAAAACGCTAGGATGGATTTTATTTTGCTGTTTGTCTCATACAGCAGCTTTCGCCATTGCAAAGCGCGTTCGCGCTTGCGCTGGGAGCATCTCCCATCCGCTCTCCGCAGGCCCGGGAGGGAGAGGGCGCGAGCAGGGCTCAGAGCCGTGCGCGCCGGCCGG